TGCCGCGCCGCCTCCCCGCCTCCTCCTCCTCCTCCTCCTCCTCCTCCTCCGCGGCCGGGCCGCCACCCCCCGGTTGCCTTTGCCCGGGGTGGCGGCGGTGAAGGAGGGAAGCGGGGTCGAGGGGCCGGAGGAGCCTTGCTAGTGCTCTGAGAAGTGCGGGGCTCGTTTGGTGGCGTGCGGCGAGGAGAAAGAGCGCTTTATCAGTCATCATGTCGGTGAACGGACGGGAGGCGATGGGCACAAAGGGAAACGCAAGAAATTCCGTTTGTGTGTGAGGAAAAACTCTTCCGCAGCGAGGGCGGTCAAATACAGGAGCAGGTTGCCTGGAGAGGTTGTGGTCTCCATCCTCAGGGACATTTAAAGCCCCGCTGGATGCAATCCTGCTCTCTGTGACCCAGCCTGAGCAGGGGCTGGACCAGATCATCTCCAGAGGTGCCTTCCATCGTGAACCGCCCTGTGATTCTGTGACTTATGAAAACTGGCAGCAAAGATACACGAACGTGATGTGGTTCAGCTGTTATTACAGGTGTGTGGGATTGTACCCGTGTACGACAACCGCACACAAACACCAAGAGTGCCTGAAGTCAAATTACATCTCATATCATCTCTGTATTCACTGTGTGGCTGGGGTGGGTTGGCCACCTATCGTACCAGAGCGGGGATCTGATGTTGCTCTGTGCTGCCAATGCTGTTATCACGAGCGTGTACATTACAGCTGAGAGGGCGCCCCGGTGCGCAACGTGCCCTGTACACACCAAACAAACGACAGCCCCTGCCCCAGGGAGTCTGGGGAGTGAATAGTGGGTGGAAAGTCTGCGAGAGACAGCGTGCTGGTTTTTCTGTCTTGCAGCCAGGGATCACAGGCATGGAGGGACAGAGCTCAACATAGGCTTTAAAGAGGTCTGGATCAGGCCCTAAGTCACGCTCCAGAAATCACCTCTATTGCAGGCTCCTGGGTATGCATAAATATTTTTAGCTGCCGGTCATCTGGGCAGCTGCAATATCCTCCAGCCCGCTGCAAACCCAGAAGCGTATGCAACCTTCACAAACCCCGGGCAGAGAGTGCCATAGATGGTACGTACAGGCTTGCGATTTCTGTTTTGGTAACACAAAACCTTAGGATAACTTTGAAAGTTCAGACCCTGCCAACACGTGCAAGAGTGGACGCGTGCGGCAGCGTTGCTCTCGAGTGAGCAAGCCACATGGGTCTGTGCTTTTGGGGGTTGCTGACACTGAACCGTTAATTTCTGCCACAGCACATCATCAGTCCGGTTTGCGGGATAAATTGCCCTGTGGAGCTGCAGGACTGCTAAACTGTAACCTCTGGAGTGGTGGGAGCAGCCCTAAAAGAAACTTTTGAGTTTCTAGGTTAGAAGTTACAGTTTAGGCAATGTATCAGAAAAGTCTTCCAGCGTGCCAAGATTTGGGTGGCGCAGCAAGAGAAACGGCGCTCCGTGCTCTGCCGCGTCCTGCTTTTGGTTTTCCCCGTGGCGTGTATTGTAGGAGAGTCTGGCCGCATCCCGTCAGTGGTGTTCATCTGAGTAGGGGCAGGTGCTGGGAAGAGGGTAAGGCTCGCGTTACTATTTTACCATTTTGCACGTGCTTTTGGTACAGTTCTTCAAGGCAGAAATACCTTTCTCCCTCTTCTTCTGATGAGCCCTGAATCGCAGTTACAACCGTGTTTGATAGCGGCACGCGCTCAGCGGAGGCGGTCGAGGGGAAATGAATGGAGCATAATGCCATGACTGTGATCACAAAGAAGAGAGGAGGGTAGATGGTCAAGATAAAAAATTCAAGTAAATAACAGTGGCAAATAACAACACCACTATGAAAGTGTCGGTTCGGTTTAATGGACAAAGGCGTAAGCGGGAGGCTTTCCATATCACATTTTCATTTGAACACCCTCGGAGGTGTTATCTCGCTTACTATAAGCTTAGCTTTGACTAAAAAAATAGAGGTTTTTCTCCTGAGAAATGTCAGCTCTCACCCTGTCAACTTATTTCTTGCAGTTAGTGCAACACGGTCAGGTAACAGTAAGTGACTGCTGAAGCACCGGCAGGACTGAGACCGGCACCGAGCGCTGATGCTTTCGCCTTGGTGAGGTTGGAAAAGCCCCACCGAGCTCGTTGGAGTGAAATGGGTTAAACTAGCGCGTCTCATTGACAGTCAATCAGTGGCTCAGTGTTGCTTACTGGATAGCTCCGGTGAGGGACAGTAACGCGGCAGTTGGTTGTAACCCATTCGGCTATGACTGTCTGTCCATACCGTTTGTAGGCACGTGCAAAAGTCTGCTGGAAGAGTAGCTCACGTCGATTCAGAGGCAGCCCAAACGCTGGCACGCGTCTCTCCCCTTCCAGCCTGAGCTGCAAATCACATTTTGGGATTAAGGGGGTATAACGCTGCATGCCGGCAAGGAGGAGCGCAGCCCTGCTACCTGGAGTCGCTTCCTTGCCTGCTTCACGCTAAGAGGTTTAAGGAGATTCTTGTTTCCCCTTATGCTCTAATGATTTACCCTGTCTGCAAATCGGTCGCTTTTGGCTGTGGGTAGGACTCGTCAGAATGGCAGAATTTACCCTGCTCTCGCCCTCTCTGGGGGCCGTGGACGCAGCAGGTCCCTTGGTTCTTTGGGCGAGATTTGAGTAAGTTGTGAGTAGTGCTAATCACAAAATGGAGGCAGGGTCAAGCATTACTTCAACATTAAAAAAAATAATAAGCCCACCGCTTAGTCTTGTAGCTGCCTATTGTTGTGCCAGAGGATTTCGGGATATAGCTTTAGGGAGCTATATACCTGTGTTTGTTTTTAAAGAGGAGGTAAGTTAACCCAAGTTCTGTGTCTCCTTGTGTATTTTCTCATCCCCCGTCATCTGACAAATTGCCCCGCAGCTGACACAAAAGGTTATTAAAGCATTGACGTGCCCTATCTGCAAAACGATGCAAAACACCTTCGGAAAAACGGAAGCAGTTCCTCGGGGGTCTCTGGAACGAGGGACCGGCAATTCCCTTTGCACGGGTACCGATTTGTTAGCAGCAGTTACGAAACTGTCAGGAGCGAGGGGTCTGCTGCTTCCCGCTGAACACGAGGAATGCAAGGAACTACGCTAGCTGAGATCTAGAAAGATTGCAGAACATTTCTTTGTCTTGATGGTTTTTTTTTCCCCCCTACTCTTTCAGCATGAACAGCCGTACCCAGGAAGGTCTGCATGCATGAGTATCGCGGAGAAAACTCGGCCACAGCTCTCCCAGCTTCAGGCCAAGGAAGGACACGGTGAGTCACGTTCGGGTTTGCAAACGCAGAAGATCTTTGAGTTAGTTAAGTTACGCTGATGCCGGAGCATCATGCATGCCTCTAATTCAGACAGGGGGAAGCT